ATGCCATCTCACAAATAATGGCTTTGAAGGCTTAATTCAACTTGGGCAGAGAATACTACGAAGCGATGATGACAGTATTTGGATGTTTTCTACCCAAAGGCCATGCACTACTTGCAAACATGTACGAGTCAGAAAAATCCTACGTTCTCTTAAGATGCCCTATGAGAAGATACATGCCTGTGAGAATGGATGTGCCTTATTTAGGCTTCAGTATGCAGACTTGAACTATTGTCCCATTTGCAAGTCATCCAGGTATGTTGTGTTAGACAACGGTATGGGTGAGACGACGCAGACCAAAATCCACGTTAATGTTCTTCGGTATATGCCAATCATACCAAGACTTCAATGTATTTTCATGGTCGAAGAGATGGCAAGACGAATGACATGGCATAAAACGGGCAAAAGAACCCAACTAGATGCAGATGGAAAGCTGATGATGGTGCACACATCGGACGATGAAGCGTGGAAGCGCTTCGATGCATTACATGACGACAAAGCGGAAGATCCGAGGCATCCTCGAGTCGCCATCAGCATAGATGGATTCAGTGTGTTTGGTCTGACGGTAACCCAATACAGTTTTTGGCCCGTATTTTCCACTCAATCCCCCCCCCCCCGGACAGATTATGCAAAGAAAGAACATTTTCCTGACGTTGATAATTCCAGGGCCCAACTATCCGGGGAACAATATGAATGTGTACATGCAGCCGCTGAAGGACGAATTGCAAGAAGCCTGGGATAATGGGTTCAAGACATATGACGCCTTTAGCAAAAAGAACTTCATATGCGTGTTTGGTACATGTACTTGACGCATGACTTGCCAGCGTATGCGCTATTCGTTGGCTGGTGTGTGCATGGAAGGTTCCCGTGCCCCACATGCAAGGGAGCTCATTTTGTTGGCTCCAGGCCGGTCGCAAGTTTTCTTGCTTTGACATGCATAGATCGTTCTTGCATCCTCGCCATAAGTTCAGGAAAGACAAGCAGAACTTCATCAAAGGTAGAGTTGTCAAAGACTCTACACCACCTCCGTTGATACGACAAGAGATCCTGGATCAGTTAAACGCTCTCGAGCCAGATCCAGAGCGTCCATGGTATTTCAAGGGGTATAATTCGCAACACACCTGGACTCGCAAAACATGCTTGTGGGATCTGTCTTACTTCAAAGACCTCCTTTGCCCACACAACATCAACGTGATGCACACTGAGCAGAATATCGCTGAGGCACTTTTTGGTGAATTGTTTGGCATAGATGAGAACTCAAAGGATAATCCTAATTCCTAAGGCAAGAATCTGATCAGGAGGCGTTATGTCATAGACCGTTACAAAACATGCAACCACCGAAAGGAAAGAAGAACTGAACAAAGCCAAAGGCATGGTTCAATCTTGGAAGGCCAGCTATGATGAAAATTATCTTGTGGGTGATAATGTCGTTGATGTTCCCCGATGGGTATGCAATGAATCTAAAGAGATGAGGAGTCTTGAAAAATTGAAGATATTTGGTCTCAAGAGTCATGATTACCACATATGGATTGAGCGGGTAATGTCGGTGATGTTGCGTGGCTTCATCTCTGAGGATGAATGGCTAGTACTGGCAGAGTTGGGCTATTTCTTCTGTGTTCTTTGTGCGAAAGAACTATCGCCTGACCTGGTAGAAGAAATGGAAGAGTTGGCACCGGAGTTGATCTGCAAGTTAGAGAAGATATTTTCGTCGGGCTTCTTTAATCCAATGCTTGATTTTTCATCTCCCAACCAAGGCAAGATTGGGGGGGGGCGCTTTGCAGAATCATTGGTGCTACGCAACTGAGAGGGTGCAGAAGACGCTTCGAGCAAAATGTAAAAATAAATGTAGACTTGAAGCATCGATGGCCGAGGCATTCATTACTGAGGAGGCGACAAACTTCGTGACAGCACACTATGAAGCCAAAAATCGTCATTTGCATAATCCAAAGCCTCGGTACAATGCTGGTGACCTAAAAAGGGTGGATCCGACCTTAGCCTATTCAAAGGGGATCTGGCACCAACCGGTGCTTCTAATTCCTTAACGTTGGATTTCAAAGAATGGCAGTCCATTTCGTTGTATATCTTCAACAACCTAACAGAAGTGTGGCCGTACATCGAGTAAGTTCTCGGTACATTGTTTCGCAAGTTCTAATTCCTTGAACTGCTCTTATTTCGGATAAATGTAATACAGTCGATACATCGCCAAATTCTCATATGGAGCGGTGATCCAAAAGGATTCCGTCGAAGAGTATGAGCTTCTGGCAAAGTATGGAGGTGGCTATCCTGGTTTCATCTATTGGTTCAAACAAACGATAATTTTCATTGGACCATTTCATTTCTTCGTCTAATTTGTGGCTAATACAGAAATCCCTTTTGTATTAAACATGTAGGCTAATTCAGAGTTTATGGATGCCGAATCGAGACAAGTCGCTAATGGTTTTGACTTTACGGTCCGTTCATTTGACAAATACAACATCAACGGGTATCGCTTTCATACCTATGGCAAAGAGCTATCTATGGCCGACTGAAAGTCTATAAATTGTTTTTTTTATCGCTAAAGTCTACAAATTGTCGTGTCTGCTATCGGCGAAGGAAATACCGAGTATTATGGAAGAGTTGAAGCAATTTATTTACTTCAATTCTATGGTGCAAACCCACCAAACGTCGTAGTCTCCAAATGTTATTGATTTCAGTCGAAGGAGACTAGAGGGACTCATGAACATATAGGGCTAGTGGAAATCAAACAAAGCACCCATTTGGATGTTCCCGATGTCTATATTATCGTGGTACCCTTATATTATATCACAACGGCACTAGCATCACGGTGGCCAAGGCCCCAGTACCCCTTTTTCTCCCTTTTTCTCTCTTTTTCTGTCTTATAGCAAGAGCCCTTTTTCTCTCTTTTTCTGTCTTATAGCAAGAGCGCCTTATCCTCCCTCCCCATGTTCAATTGCCACCCCATGTACGAGTTGTGATGCTCCTTATTTTTTTTCGTTTTTTCCTTTTCTTTTCTTATTTCTGTCTTTGTTTTCTTCTTTCAATTAATATAGGATTCCCAAAAAATTCAAATTTTAAAAAGTGTGAGTTTTTAAAAAATGAAAAATTATAAAATGTTCGTCATTTTGAAATTGTTGCCATATTACAAAACAATTCACGATTATGAACAAAATGGTCATGAGATTAAAAAAGGTTCACGACTTTTAAAAAAGTTCGTGTATTCAAAACATATTCGGGAATTTGAAAAACATGTCCATGAAATTTTATAAAATATTCACAAAAAATCAAATAGATTCGTAAGTAACGAACAAAACGAACCAGCACTTACATAGAATTGTTTTTAGGGGATTTGTGGAGGTCATTTTATTATTTTATTTAATACATCGCACGTTGGGTAAAAGAAAAGGTTTACGTGTTATAGGAAATCAAGTCTTGATGAGACCATCACACATTCAGATTTTGAAATGACTTTTTAAATGTCCCTTACCTCATCATGACATGATTCAAACGTAGTTTATGAAATGATATTTTAAAAGTCCTTATCTCATCCTTGCATAATCTAATTGTTTTTTCTCCCGTTGCAATGCAAGGGCATATTTGCTATACTAAAAAAATGTTCATGATTTCATGAAATTAAGAGTGGCAGTGTATCTCGATGATGCAGCAAAATGTGGTCTTGGCTATTGGAGATTATGAAAAAAATTCTACCGTTGCAGCCCTTAAAATGTTTGCCGAGTCAAAAAATTGTTTTTAATAAAAAATCATTAAATCAAAAAAATGTTCGTCAATTTCAAAAATTGTTACTCCAATTTCAGAAACAATTTTCGTCCATCCTAGGAATATTCGCCGATTCAAGCAAATTATTAAACAAATGTTCATAATTTTAAAAAATGTTCACAAATAGTATAAAATGTTCATGAATTCAAAAATTGTTCTTTATTTTAGAAAATGTTCGGAAATCTTTAAAAGTGTTCATGATTTTAAAAAATCACGATTTCAAATATGTTCGTGAGTTTAAAAAAATGTTCATGATTTCACGAAATTGAGAGTGATAGTGTATCTCGGTGATGCAGCAAAATATGATCATGGCCATTGAAGATTATCATTTTTTTTCCGTTGCAATGCACGGGCCCTTTTGCTAGTTATATCCGATGAGGATATTGTTAAGGGTGGCCAAACCTTCTGATTTGGGTGCAGACCTTATCGAACTCCATCTCTGCCGTGCTCCCATACAACGGCCGGCCGTGTCAATTTCTTCCTCATCACCTAGCCAAAGGATCACCCAGCTAGCTCCTCTTCCACGTAACAACTCCTACTCGATCGAATTATCCCCCGACAGTCCTACGCAAATAAACAACCCTAAAGCGAAACACATCAGGAAAATAGAACCTAACTTATCTTTAAAAGAAAAAGGAAAATAGAGCCAAAGTTTGAGCGGAAATACTATTGAGCGAACGTTCGCTCACCTGGACACGGACGCGACGCAACGCCAGCTGTTCGGTCACACGCATAAAATGACATGGCAGCTGTTCGGTCATCCACCAGCGTGATGGGATCCTTGTCGTCTCATTTTGATCGAGCGATCCATTGCTATCGACACTTCCTCTCTTTCATTATAGGAAAAACCGCGCAAGTCAAGTACGAAGACTGCACGGTGAAGGCTAAATTCAACCTTGGCAAAAAGTTATCGGGTGTTACACTCGACAAAAAGGACTCGGCGTACTCCTGGTAGGCATAACGACATAAGCTGAGTGTTATTTGTCAGCTACTCGGCAAAAGGTTTGCTGAGTAAAAAATAAGCAGCTCACTGCAAAACACTACGAGGAAATACCTTATAGGTAGATCCCTACCCAATGCTACTGTGAAGTAGTAGTAGCGCGGCTCACAAACCCACGCTACAGGCACACACTAGTATATGTTAATCATAGAGGCACTCCCAAGCATTGCTAACTCATAGAGACGATGCATTGCGCACTGATACCCTGGTAGTGTTCTCTTTACTGTCATCAGTTATCTTGGCCCTCATTGCAGCCAAGGTGGAGCCTCCGCACTCTCATCTTTCCATTCAGTGCTAGGGCTAGCACATCGTACTCCTCTACATACCACAGCTCTGATACCTTTGCCTGGAACAGTTTTGAGATGCAGATTAGCTGATGAATCATTATCTTCAGGATAAACTTTCTGCGATGCAAAAGTTTACCTGGAAGCCACGGATTTTCCCATTAACCTGTGCAACGAGGTCATGGAAGAATTTGATGTGACTGAAAGATGATGTGTCCTCCTGAAAAAGTGTAGGTCAAATGTTAAAATAATTGATGCAATGCGATATTAAATAAACGAGCACAATCCTTGCTAGTTCTAGTAAAGTTTGCACAACTCCAGAAGGTGTCTGCTAGTTAAATACTAAAAAGTAGAGATAATAAACAGTTACAGAAAGGCACTACGATGCCAAATGCACGAACAACCACCCAAATTAGCAGGCTCATTGCATGATTTATATTGAAGCAGCTTGTTAGACCACTGATAAAGCAAAAAATCATGTGCCTTTCTGCAAAGAATTCAGAATTTCAGATACAGAAAATAGCAACAGAAAAGTTGTGTTGTAGCAGGCTACCTGTTGTGGGAGCTTAGGAGGTCCCAGAATTCGCGCAAAGGATGTGTGGAGGAGAACAGGATCATACTGCCACATGCATAAAATGGAGTCAGTGACTAATTCATCAAGACGCGTGAAATATCAGGTCAATAGCAATCAGCAATTAGTAAGTGTGTAAACCCACTAGAATGAATCCAGAACATTGAACTTGATGCAATGCGGAAGTCAACTAGTAGAGTAAATTTGAGTTCCCTTCTCAATGTTATCATGCCAATATGATGCTATATGTTGACAATGGGTCAGGTCATGTTTCCAACAAATTCATCTAAGTTGCTCTCACCAACTGCTTTTGGGGTGCTCGAGGTAGAGCTTCTCTCAATTTTGAGCGGATGTCGGCAGGATCAGTACCAGATTCAACCTAAAATACGAAACCAAATAACTTATTTCAGTCTGTATACTTGTAAGAGTGGAGGATGAAGCACTAAGGTTAACTGTATATCAAACAAAGACAGGTGTCCAACATGTCATCTGGCAGCAGAATAGGGTGTTGTCAAAGATTCAAACCTGCCACAGGCCAAGAAGAACTCCAGTTGACGTCAAAACCACTCGATCCAAGGAAATTTTAAGGGGACAAACAGCCTCAGTAACTCCTTTTACAGCATCGACTTCGGCTTCAATCTCAACAATGCCACGCATAGATACATCAGCTAAAAAGCTGTAATCCCATGCTCACATAAATACAAATTAGATGATTTAATTACCTCATCCTTGGTTGCTAAGATTGGCTCCAGATGATGGGAGGCATGAAACATACTGAAGTGATACATGCTCAAATTTTGGAACCAGATAGCTGGCAATAAGAAATGACCGAGCAAAGCAAATCAACATCAAGCAGTACTTACACAAGTGTGCAGCTTTATGATACAAATTAATGAAGTATAGTATAGATTGACCAAGCAATATAAAAGATGCGGTAATATCTATTTTATCCATACCAGAAATTAATACCGAAGGAGAGAGTAACTATTAAATGCACTGAACATAAACCTTACCTTTATCAAAATAAGGAAGAAATACTTCCTTCACAGCCTTCCTGCAGGTACAAGTCATACTCAATTAGCACTAATTTGCTCCCATTTATTACAAAGAAAGAGCAATATTGTCATCTCGGATTGGCATACTGCAACTGAACCAAATCCGTGCCAGCAACAATCCTTGGAACCATGGCGGTTGATTCGAAGCCGAATCTCACCACTTACGCTATCTCGGCGGCGAACACCGGCTCCAGGTAGAGCACGTTTGCACGCACCGGCGGGTCGGCGGCCTGATGAGCGGCAGAGCAGTCACACTTTCAGAAATTCATGCGTGCCACGACGGCGAGAGCAGGGGACGGAGAAACCTTCACCTTGAGCTTGGGCACGACGGCGCCGTCCCTGATGTCGAAGAGGTCCGAGAGCGTGAGGGACTGCGACGTCTCGCCGCCCTTCAAGAACGCCGCGCCGCGCTCATCAAGGTCCCGAGCCATCCTGCCGTACAGATCGGCGCGCCGGGAAGACACGGGACCACGAGGAGAAGCGGGAGCATAGGGGTCCATGGTCGGGCGGCGCAGAAGGAGGAGCAGGAGGATGAAGACGGCGGCCGGCAGGAACCAAACGGCGCTGGCCGGAGATCTGAAGCGGGTGGAGCAGCTCGGGGCCTTGGTGGCCATCAAAGGCAGCTTTTTTGTGTGTGTGTTCAGGTGTGTGGTCTGTGGATTCTCTAGTAGCATCGTGTCGATATACACGCGTTTGTGTATACTCATTTATTAGTGAACTGGACGCAGCGCATTTAACTCACACATTGACTAACAAAGTAATGCAAATTTTCAACGGAGAATTGATTGAAATAAATGAATGTAAACTTGCCAGGCAACTTACAGTGAAAAGGTACCCCTAAAAAAAGTTACTCCCTCTTTTTCAGTTTACAAGGCGTGCGCGTACACCTAGGTTGTCAATTTGACCAACCTAATACAAGTAATATATTACAAAAAATATACCAATATAAACTTCATATGTTTTATTTTTAAAAAATGTAATTTTTGTGTTATATAGTTTATATTAGGGTGATCAAATTGGCAACCTAGATATAATTTTCGCCGCTGCCGCCACCCAGCCACCTCACCCTACCTTCGTCGCCGCCACCGGAGTGTGTTGTTGGGCAAAGCCCGAGCGGCGTCGGCGGTGGGGGGGGGGGGTCTTCTCTGC